CGATTCTTACTATTTTTTAGTTAGAGACGAGGTCTTGCTTTGCTCAGGCTGGTCTCGAACTCCTGAGGCCCCAGAGATCGCCGCCTCGGGCCTCCCGAGTGCAGATTACAGGCCTGGCCTTCCTTCTATATTCTGGAGCAATGTTTTTATTAATTTCTGGCAGCTCTGGTGGACCCTGATCCTCAGCAAATCTGTGATTTCTTCCCTTAGAATGCTGAGGTATGCAGGGTCCACCGGAAGCTGCAAAATAATAAACATTGCTCAGAAATATGGAAGGAAGGGCAGGCCTGTAATCCTAGCACTCTGGGAGGCCGAGGCGGCGGATCTTGGCTCAGGAGTTCGAGACCAGCTGAGCAAGAGCAAGACCTCGTCTTACTAAAAATAGTAAGAAATTAATTGGCCAACTAAAAATATATAGAAAAAATTAGCCGGGCATGGTGGCACATGCCTGTAGTCCCAGCTACTTGGGAGGCTGAGGCAGGAGGATCGCTTGAGCCCAGAGTTTGAGTGTGGTGAGCTAGGCTGGATGCCACAGCACTCTAGCCGAGCAACAGAGTGAGATTGCTGTCTCCAAAAAAAAAAAAAAAAAAAGAATATAGAAGGAAACTTGTGTCTCAAGAAGAAATTAATTTAGCCAACATGGAAGTCCAGAGTAATCATGATGGCTGCTATTTGTCATCATACAAAAATTACCTTTATAATATAGATTTCTAAAATGAAAAAAAATAACTATAGTTTTCCTATTCCATGGAAACTATCAAATTGCCCCTCTTTGGCTATCCTAATTGACAATCCTAGCCACCAAGGGATTTGAATTTCTGTTTCTCCACAGCTTCACCAACACAATGCATTATCAACCTTTTGATCTTTCTAATGGGAGGTGAAGAATGCTTTGGCATTGTAACTGTAATTTGCATTTTGCTGGTTCTCAGAGATACTTGAATTATTTCATAGCCATCTTTTTTTTTTTTTTTTTTTTTGAACAGAGTCTCACTTTGTTGCCCCAGGCTAGAGTGAGTGCAGTGGCGTCAGCCTAGCTCACAGCAACCTCAATCTTCTGGGCTCAAGCGATCCTCCTGCCTCAGCCTCCCGAGTAGCTGGGACTACAGGCTGTGCCACCATGCCCGGCTAATTTTTTCTGTATATATTAGTTGGTCAATTAATTTCTTTCTATTTTTTGGTAGAGACAGGGTCTCGCTCAGGCTGGTTTCGAACTCCTGACCTTGAGCAATCCGCCCGCCTCAGCCTCCCAAAGTGCTAGGATTACAGACGTGAGCCACCGCGCCCGGCCAGGAGATGGATACTTTAAAACAACAACAACATCACAACTTGATTGAGATGTATTTCACATACCATACCATTTACCAGTGGAGACATTTTTTGGTTGTCACAGGTTGAAGGGGGCATGCTACTGGCATCTAGTAGGTGGCGGCCAGGGATGCTGCTAGAACCCCCACCCATGCACTGGACAGCCCCGAGAAACACAATGAAGAATTTTTTTTTTTGATACTGAGTCTCACTCTGTTGCCCAGACTAGAGTGCCGTGGTGTCAGCCTAGCTCACAGCAACCTCAAACTCCTGGGCTCAAGCGATCCTCCTGCCTCAGCCTTCTGAGTAGCTGGGACTACAGGCATGCACCACCATGCCTGCCTAATTTTTTCTATATATATATTTTAGTTGTCCAGCTAATTTCTTTCTATTTTTTTTTTAGTAGAGACGGGTCTCGCTCTTGCTCAGGCTGGTCTCGAACTCCTGAGCTCAAATGATCCGCCCGCCTCAGCCTCCCAGAGTGCTAGGATTACAGGCGTGAGCCACTGTGCCTGGCTGAGAAAACTGCCTGTTGATTGAGGTCACGCAGCTAAGCAGCCCACTCCATTCATTCATTCATTCTGTTTGGAGCAGGAGCACTTTTTTCTGAGCCTGGTCTTTATGGCATGCAGTGTTCTAGGAGCTGGGGATCCAGCAGCAGGAGAAGCCAGGTGGCGACCTGGAAGCCACCCAACTGAGGGAAACGAGATACAGGCAGATACGGGGACTGCCAGCCGTTGTGCCTGAGGACCAGCGCGGAGGCCAGTGCGGCTTGGGGAGGAGAGCAAGCTTGTGGCTCCACGTGCTGGTGGGATCCTGAGCTTGCAGGGCCTTGAAGGCTGCGGTGAAGACTTTGGTTTTGTCTCTGAGCAAAACAGAAGCCTCAGGAGGGCTCCGAACAAGAGGAGGTACGTGATCTGACTCAGGTGTTAAAAGGGGCCTCTGCCTGGGGTGGGGAACAGACTTGGGGGGCAAATGTGGAAGCAGAGAACTCAGTGAGGAGTTGACTGCAGTAGTCCAGGCAGGAAGTGACGGTGGCTGCGTCGGGATGTTGGCAGTGGTGTGTGACAAGTGTTAGGATATGAATGAATATCTATGTAGTTTCCCCTTAGCCTTTTTCTGTCATTTATGAACTTCGTGTTTTTGAAGAGTCCAGGTTAGTTTTTTTTTTTTTTTTGAGACAGAGTCTCGCTTTGTTGCCCAGGCTAGAGTGAGTGCCATGGCGTCAGCCTAGCTCACAGCAACCTCAAACTCCTGGGCTCAAGCAATCCTCCTGCCTCAGCCTCCCGAGTAGCTGGGGCCTCCCGAGTAGCTGGGACTACAGGCATGCGCCACCATGCCCAGCTAATTTTTTCTATATATATTAGTTGGCCAATTAGTTTGTTTCTATTTATAGTAGAGACAGGGTCTCGCTCTTGCTCAGGGTGGTTTCAAACTCCTGACCTTGAGCAATCCGCCCGCCTCAGCCTCCCAGAGTGCTAGGATTACAGACGTGAGCCACCACGCCGGCCCAGGTTAGTTTTTTAAAATTGTTTTGGTAGAATGTCCTCAATTTGCATTTCTCATAATTATATCCAGATAATCCATTTTTGGCAGAAATTCCACAAAGTGGTGGGCCTGTCCTTCTCGATGTCCCCTTTACTAGAGAGGTTGGCTTTGATCACTAAGTTAAGGGGTGTTCACCAGGCTTCTCCACTGTAAATTACTGCTCTGCCCTTTACAGAAGAAATAACTTGTGACGGAGCGTACTTCAAGACTATGCAGATACCATCTACCTCATCACCTTCATCCACATATTTTTGCATCACTTTTTACTTTCCAACTCCATTATTTACGTTTATGTACTTGCCAATCCACAGTAAGGCTTTTCCCTTCTCCTCTTTTACTTATTTATTCTTATTTATTATAAATCAATGTGGGATCTGGATTTCTCTGTTATCCAGTGGTTATAATCTGGAATTCTATTATTTTGTTTATTTCAATCATTCCAGGATCTGGCCGGTGGGAGCCCTTGCAAGCTGGCTCCGTTATGAGAATCTATTTGCAAGATAGGACTTCCTGGAGGGTTTTGGATGGGCCTGTGTATGTGAGAAGGAGGAGGCTGGGTCCTTCTTTTGGCAAATAATTGACCGGAACTGAGGATAAAGCTGGTGATAAAAGTAGACAAAAGTTCCTGCCTTCATGGGGCTCATGGTCTTGTGCAGGTGGCACTTTGTTTTTTGCCAAGCCACTAGGGAAGGT